AGCATGATATATTTTTATAAATAAACCATCAAAAAAATTCTGTAAAAGTTATTTACATAGCGGGACTAATATTTTATTCGGTGCTGCTGCTTTCAGTACTTATTTTCAATAACGTATCAAATACGTGGACCACACTGTATATTACGATTACTGATTTACCGACTCGTAATTTATTAAATTAAATAGATTGTATAGACGTCAGAATATGAATAATAAAATAATAAATAAATAAGAAATAATAAAAAATAAATAATAAAATATAATAAAATTAAATACGATAACGTAAATACAAAAAATAAAAATAAAATAATAAAATAATAAATAAATAAAAAATAAATAATAATAAGAGAGGGAGAGAGAGGAAGGGAGAGAAAGAAGCAAAGAGATAGAAACACATTTTTTATAAAAATGAATTATTCTGAAATAAAATTTAAAGAACCTGCTTTTTATGTACACCTTAATATTTAAAATGTCCAAGTTCAACGTATAAATCGTTGAACGGTTAAATCGTTCAGATTTAATGACATAACAACATTAAAAAAAACAATAAGATGAGAAATTGTATGAAAAATTATGAGAACAATTTTTACTAGGGATAATATATATACGCCTTTAAATGGCCATTTAACCGTTGTACTATTCTATACTTGTACTCGTTATTTCTCTATTATTGTTACTTTTTTATAAAAAATGTATAATATAATTTTAAAATGTAAACATTGTTTTTTATTGTGTATATGTGTATAATTATTGCACAATATAATTATCTTGACTCCTCTGCAGCAGTTTTACATGGTGTGTATGTGAAACTGCCCCATTTAATAATGTACATATGGCCCTTGATAGAATTAAATAGCCTATCTAGGAAACAGAATCTGCGCGCAATCTGCCGTCAGTCTGTCGTAAGAGTCTGTCGACAGGCTCTGCGCGCAGTCTGTCACCAATCTGTCGTCAGAGACTGCTAAAACAGTTTCTGTATGCAGTCTGTTGCCATTCTGTCAACAGACACTGTTGACAGACGCTGCGTAAAATCTGCTCGCACAGGTTTGGCTATCTGGGGCATTATAGCTTTCCAAGTAGAATATAGGAATCAAAATGATATCAATTTGAGGTCATTTTGACCAAACATTGAACAAATTTATGTCAATTATTAGTCAAAAAAAATATTAAATTAATATAATTTTGATTATGTATTACTTGGGCTATTCCTAACAATATAAAAGATGATTGTAATTAAAATATATGTTAAATAATGTGAAAACTTTTTTTTTTATTGCAACATTGACATAAAATAGATCTCTCACAATACCGATATTTTAACATCAATGTCATGAAATTGTCATGAAAATGGTATTGCTTGACATCAAAATGACATTATTTTATATCATTTGACGTCATTTTGATTTTTATATGACTTTATGTTCTACCTGCTCAACTGAAAAAATCCAGCTGAGATCTCAATTGAGAACTCAATTACAGAGTAATTACTCTGTCAAAATATTGCAAGAGAGTAGGAAAGAATATTCTTTCTCTTTTGCGAGCACGTTCCCAGATAGACAAACCTGCGCGAATAGATTTCGAGCAGAGCTTGCTATCAACTTTTGATGGCAAATAGATAATAAATTTGATACAAGATCTGTTATATCAAATTTTGCTGCTAAATTGCCGCCAGATATGCGGCAAAGTTTGTTGTCGGATAATTGCTGCAGATTTGCAACAAAAACCGCGCAAAGCTTGTAGCGATTTGACGGCAGATTGGCAGCAGAAACCACACAGACCTTCCTGCGTTGCAAGCTTTGCGCGGTTTTTGCTGCAAATTTGGCACCAATTGTTCGACAGCAAGATCTGTCGCCAAAACCGTAGCCTAATGTAAACACAGATGGCTATGGTTTTGCTATGGGTTTTTGATCAAATTTGCTGCCAATCTGCGCGCAGTCTGTACTCAATTTGCTTACTGGGTTGTATGTTAAAATTTGATTACTTATACAACATTGTATTAATATTAATCATATTGTGATTGTTATTACGTCCTTTGAAATATTTATCGATAAATATGTCATTATATTATTTTATATTTTTGAACGCTATAAGAGTATATTGTAAATATAATCCACCAAGATATTGTTACAGCGCAACTGGTATCACCAGTTCCCGACGATCGTTGAGGTTAAGCATTGAAGAGCATATGCCTGTATTCATAATCAGGTATTTAAGACCTCCTTAAGTTCATCTTCAGATGCTCTACGGATCATTTTATTGGCTACAGAGTATCTGAAGATGAACTTAAGGAAGCCTTAAATATAAGACCTGACAATAGGCCTGTTCTTTGTAGTTGCACTGCTGAACTGGTGCAATATATTGAAGTGAAACAAATATACGTTTTCTCACTCTAACTTATTGCACTAGTTCAGTAGTGCAGCTACAAAGAACAGGCCTAATGAATATGGGCAATAGTCATCTAAAGATGGGTGACGTGTCTGACACGGGATCGAATCCACGTGAACCTCACGAATAAATGAAACGACACAAAATATGTAATACCAGTTCTTTTTTGTTATTTAGACAAAATAATTTTCATTTTTCACTGAGTGAAATTATGTAATATTACCCAGATAGCCAAACCTGTGCGAGCAGATTTTACGCAGAGTCTGTCAACAGTATCTGTTGACGGGAGCGGTGCACTTGGACACGGTGCATTTGGACACAGCCAATCACAGCACTGTGTGATTAGAGACATTTGTAGGGTCCCTTGGAACAGCGACTTGTGATTGGACTGTGTCCAATTGCCCCATGTCCAACTGATATACACCCTCTGTTGACAGAATGGCAACAGACTGCACACAGAAACTGTTTTAGCAGTCTCTGACGACAGATTGGTGACAGACTGCGCGCAGAACCTGTCGACAGATTCTGACGACAGAATGACGGCAGATTGCGCGCAGATTCTGTTTCCTAGATAGGCTATTTAATTCTATTAAGGGCCATATGTACGTTATTAAATGGGGCAGTTTCACATACACACCATGCTGCAGAGAAGTCAAGATAATTATATTGTGTAATAATTGTATACATATACACAATAAAAAACAATGTTTA